TTTTTACATGATACCATATGGTTAATGCAAATATTAAGGGAGTGTTTGACACCCATTTTAATGGGTTGAAAATTTTTGGAATAGTGATTGATGGGAGAATGTGTGGTGGAAAAGTGATAAAAAATTTTAGATTTGTGTGTAATATTATTTTATTTGGAGATTGTGTGGTTGAAATGAAAAAAGAGAATGAGAAAGAGAGAGAGAATGGGTGCCAAACAGGGGCTAATTCATCAAACACAAAACAAGCACGTATAGAACCTTCAATTTTGATAGGACCTAAGATCAATTGAGAAAGAATATCTATACTGTCATCAAATCCATGCTATGCCAGCAAGAAGGTAAGACAAAGACAACAAATGGTGATGACTACGTATACCATCTAATGCCTGACAAAAGCAAATAGTTATCCCTAAAGTTTGCACCATATCATCATTTGAGAATAAAAACAAAGCAATATCCTAGAAATGATAATGTCTTATGATCTACAACCTTGATTCTTTACATCATTTCCCACATTCAAAATCCTATAAAGCCAAAATAACTAATTTTTTCATATTTCATTATTTTTTCTCTCCCTCATGTTGTGCAGACAATTACACTGGTGTTAAGTACATTATTTCTGTAATTTAGAACAAAGAGTGCATGATAGCTCACTTGATTTCTCTGATTTTCTCAAACAACTCAAGGGAGTAAATATTGTCGTCATCTGCAAAATATACCACTCCATCAAGCCTGTGCCGCTCGATATGCTCGAGTGCAGTATTCCTCTGGTGCACTCCCCTGTCCTTCACATTAGTCAAATTCTTCGAGCACACCAAATGTCGATACATAACTGCAGTCTTTCTCAAAATATCTGCAGTCTCCATGGATGCAGCATTCATCTCCACCACAATCCACAGCACTGGCGGCCTCACTAGCCTCAATACCTGTCCTAACCTATTCAAATAGTATGCTTGTAGCGCTCTATTATAAGTAGGTGTCACCACAATTAGCTGTTTTAGAGGCACAAAATCCAATATTTTACTATCTTCGTTCTCTCCACCCTTCTCAACAACCTTTAATTCCTCCGTACGCACCACAAAATCGTTTTCCCTAGACCTGTCAGCTACATTTTCTACATTCTGCTTGATACTCAGAAATGGGGGTTTGATTTCAAAAGCGATATCACTGTTTCTTAAATCACGATTCTTCAATTCACTGAGGTCATTGTTAAAGGGGGCTATGCCAAGTAAAAACCCTAAGAAAAAGAACAATAAGCATCGGTAAAGTGACTTTTTCCAGGAAAAGTGATTATTTTTTCGAGAGTGCTTTTGGATGAAAATCCCGACAAGAAATTTTCGGAGTGGAGACAAGGTGGTTTTGGTGTTCGATAGAAACTTCTGGGATGGAGATTGTATGGATAGAGGAATCGATCCATTTTGGTACGGCCGATAGTGATACGGTGATAGTGTTCTTCGAATCGACGCCATTTATTCAACTGAAATCGCATCGAAAAAAGATAACATAATCAATTCAAATCACACGTATCAAATCAGTAGAGTAAGTGAAGATTGTATACATAGAGACGAATGGAGCTGTTTTCGGCAACGAAATGAAATTTGAAGTGAAACCCTAAAATGAAGCTGATAGAGAAAGAAAAATAGACTTTAAAAATGATCGGTGCAAGAATTTACAATACTTTCGCTTTTTCTCGAGAGATTTATTTGATTGATTCTGGGAAAATTGAAAGAGGGCGGGGCGGAGGCTTAAATCCCGGCGAGTGGAGGCGGCTGAAAAAAGATTTGCCGCGTTTGGTTCAGATATGGGTGGCTACTGTAGCAAGAATGCGCTGTTAGGTGGGCCAGCCACAAAACGCCACGTGGTTTGTCGGAAAATTTGGTAATCATTTATTTGTCAATAATTAGTTATCTATTTACACTAATGCTACTCAGAGCGTCTCTCATCTATTTATGACTAACAATAACGTTTCTTTTAACCTTATTATGTTTTGTAAAAAAATTTAAAATTTAATTTTCCTAAATTAGTTTCTAAATATACATTATTTTAATAAAATAATTTTACACATAAATTTCGTATTTTTTTTTTTTTTTTTTTTTTTTTTACTTTTGACCACATACTTTTAAAGAAATGCTTTTCAAATTATTATTAAAAAATCTTTACCAAACAAGAATTTGAAATAATTCAGGGGTGACAACTTCTTTACTTTTTATCTATCATTTTCTTTTAACTTTCGCCTAAATATTTTTGAAAAGCTAGCAGGATGGGCAAATTCGTTCCTTTTCTACTCGAACAAATAAGTAGAAAGTATGTCAAAATAATGAAATTATTTGGTAAATATCAAATGACTCAAATTGTATTAGAGTATCTTCAAGAGACTCTTTAAACACGAAATACTCTCTATTTTAAAAAGTTAACATTTAAAATTATGTTCCAAAAGACTTTTTAAATTAACATTTTAATTTAGAGAGTGAGTTTGACTCTCTAACCCACTCTCTATAATTAAATGCATTTAAAATGTTTCAATTTTCAATGTAGGAAAATAATAAAATAATCTAAAGAAAAGTTAGTTAAACTAAAGATAAATAAAAATAATAAATATTTTTTGGGAGTAGTAAAATTAAGTGTTAAATATAAAGAGTTTGTTGGAGTGTTTCAAAATTTTAACTCTCTAAATTTATAGATACTCTCCAAATGATAGAATATCCCTAACAAATAAAAGAGACACTTTTGAAAGTATTGTTCACACTTTCGTTTGGGGAAAACGGCGTCGTTTTTGGAAGTGTTGTTGACAATTGAGTCGGTGGAGAGACGGCGTCGTTTTGGCGTTGAAAATAAAAAATCAGTAGAAGAAGCTGCTATAAGAACCCGTGACGCTATTTTCTCGTTTTTAGGTTTTCTTCGTTCAGTTCCGCCTCCTCTAATTTCTTCGTTCAATTTCGCCTGTAACGTCTTCAATCCTAGGTCGTGGTTCCTTGTATCTCCACCACTGGGTTCGCAGATCCTGTAGAACCCGTGACGCTATTTTCTCGTTTTTAGGTTTTCTTCGTTCAGTTTCGCCTCTAACGTCTTCAATCCTAGGTCGTGGTTCCTTGTATCTCCACCACTGGGTTAGCAGATCCTGTACTTATTTACAGATGTACAGGTAGAAGAACCCGCTAGAAGAACCCATGTCGTGTAGAGGTATTTTCTTCGTTCAACTCCGCCTCTATTAGGGTTTTTGATCCGAGATCGTGGTTCCGTGTAACTCCACCGCCTGCTTCTTAGATCCCATACTTATTTACAGACTATAGCTATTTCGTTTGATTTCAGTATGGGCTTTAAAAGATTTTATTTATTTGCAGCTTGTGTTCTTCCTGGATCGCGTTTTTGGAGGAAAATCCATGGGTCGTTGAAGATGTGAAGCCGCTGTTCCCGTGTCGCTAAGGACTCGTCATTTCTGGTAAATTTGTTTCCTTTTTTTTTTTGCTTGAGCATGTTTTGTAGTGATTCCTGTTAAAGTAGATTACTTTTATTCACTCCCGCAACGATTACCTTCATTTCCTTCCTCCTTGTTTGTAATGTTGTAGTTCCCGTTAACAATAAACGAAAACGGGGTCGTTGTTGTCGGGAAATAGTGGAGATCAATGCTGTCTGTACTTTGGGAGTTGATGCTAATGTCGATTTTCGTGATGGTAATCATAATAAGAATGGTTTGATTATGAGTGAGGTTTTTGTGGGTGGGAATGTGGGGGATAGGGATAGAGATAGAAAGGCCGTAATCAAATCTCCTGTGAAATCTGTAAATGTAATTCCTTGTGTATATATTTTTATATTTAATGTGTATATATTTCTATATTTCCCAAGATTTCGTGGAATTGACCTTTTTTTTTTTTGCCTTGTGAAACAAATCTTTGGTTCCCAGTTGAAATCCTGGGAAATTGAGATACCCACTTTGAGATTTTTGGATACTTTGAAGTAAGTCTCTCGAAGTTGTAATTATCATCTTTTCTTGTAAACTTCAGTTATTTAGATGTGAAACTTCTTGATGTTAATAATCAAGTTTCAAGGTCTTCATTTGCAAGAAAAAACCAATTAAGAGTTGGCTTTTAATGTGTAGCTATGTTTGATGTTATATAGTTGTGGTTTCTTGTATGCGACATACTGCTGCACATTGATTTGAGCTTGTTTGAGAAGATTACAAGGAAAATAAAGTTTAGAGCATGTTTGTTGCAGATTATTCTTGGAAAAAAATGAATTTTTTGACCGTTATAGCCCACAATTTTTTACTCACATTTCTCTCCAACGACCATAATGTTGATTTTAATCCAGCAAAATAGAGATATCAGACAGGGCCTTAATGTTAATTTTAGCAAACTAATTTTTCTATCATAGACACCATTTTTAGTAAGAGATAGTTGATACAATGGATATTGTTATTGCGAGTTTTGACCTAAAATCCTACTAAATGTGTGAATTGTTGGCATATAATCCGCTTGCGGAGATTCTTTTTTACAGTACTTGTGTGGTAAATATTTATAAGATATAGTTCTTCCATCTTGTAAAAATGTGATAATGGTGAACTTGACTCATGAATAATGATACTGTAGTCATTTGGTTGGCTGTTGAAAGAGGATATGAAATGACCAATCCACGTAGATGTGAAGTGGTTCACCAGAAAACCATTGTTGAAAATCCTAGGCTTGTTACTAAATCAATTTTTCGTTTTCACTATGAAGTGGCCTTAGACCCGTCACATGGGATTTGAATCATCTGATTGCCACATATCATCAGTCGATGGACTTGGCACAACATGATAGCTGATGGACGATCGGTATTAGTTCATGTGTAGAAATCTTGTTGTTTTTCAATGTTTAACGATGTTATTTTTACTTTCAATGTTTTTTGTTTCTTTTGAACCTCTTTTGTCACCAGTTCTTATTATAAATCTCATAGACAAATGCTATTTAAAAAAGGTTGAACGTCAACCTTTTGCACATGGATGGTAACAAAGAAAGCAGCAGAGATGTTCCAAATGTTAGTTGGTCAATGACGAAGAAAGATGCTCACAATGAAAGACGTTGGCAAATGTATGCAAAACGCAAGGAATGAGATCGACCATCTGGATCTCAATTATTGAAATCCAAAAGAATTTCACAAATACAAGACAAGTTATATTATCACTAAATACATTTTCACACATTTTACTTATTATACTATTTTCTTTGGTGTATTTTTTAACATTATTATTGTTCGAGTTTATGATAAACCTACATTTGTTAGTTTTTAATGATACTTTATGGTTTGTATTCTGTCTAGCTGATCGGTGTAGTGACACAAGTTGTCCTATAGAAGAATTACCTCCTACTTTGGATGATGTGATAGCAAATCAATTCCATATTTTGAATGAAGGTATAAATTAATCGCGAATCTTTTATTGTTTGGCATCTTCATTTCAGAACAACAATTTAGTACATCCCTTTACAGTCCAGTCAAGTCTTCGTTTGTTTAATTTTTTTTTTATTATTGCTTTATGTATTTCTGAATCAAATGCTAATCCTGATTTCCTTACAACTACAATGTATAACACAGATGTCATAGGATTTGAGATACAACCAGTACTTAGTGACTCTTATGTATTGAACCCCCCTACAATTTGTTGTTTTTGTGGTGCAAAGAAATTTTATAGAGAAAGCAATGACTTTTGTTGTTCTAATAGAAAAATTAGATTATACGATAACACTGTACTTGATGAACTTTTTCATCTGTATACATCAAGCACAAATAAGTTACTACATTTTAGACCTATTTGTAGAAGCTATAGTAATCACTTTTCATTCACATTGGTTGGTGTAAAATATGATAAAGACTTGTGTGGGATGAATAAAGGGATTTACACTTTTAAAGTTCAAGGTCAAGTCTATCATTACTTAAATAATTTAGTCCCCACTGATGGAAAACCATCTTTTTTACAATTATAATTTTTTGATACTGAACATGAATTACAAAATCGTCTTCAAAGTTCATGCAAATTTAGCGAGCAGTTATTACAAAAATTACTAGATATTTTACAAATTAATCCTTATGCAAAAAATTTTCGCTCATTAAACAGCATAGAAGCTTTAGAAACATATAAAATACAAGTACGTTGTGACCCTAGTCTTGACCAACGAGTATTTAACACACCATCAGTTTCTCAAGTTGCAGCAATTTAGGTTGATGAAGATCCAAACACAGATATTCACATTCAAGATATATCTATTTGTTGTCATTCTGGTCATGCACATAAAGTCCATTAATATTTTGGGTGTTATGATTCGCTTCAGTACCCTTTGTTATTCCCATTCGGTGAACCTGGATGGTTTGAGGGTATTGAATATTTTGACACACGAAAATCTAATATTTCGATTGTTAATGAAAATGTTAATGATATCCATAGTGTTAATTCAGCTACTGAGTTTATTGAAAAAGAAAACGCAGGTTCATACTCTAT